CGTTTTGGACCTTGGGCAAAGGAACACGTGATGGTGTTTTCCTTAGCCCTGTCGTGGAATCCCTTTGTGTTTCATTGCTGTAAGGTATTTTTAGCGCACATGTCAGGGTGCCATAGGAACACACACCGTGGGTCCCGGCTGGACCAAGAGCACTCACTCCTGAGTCTTGTGTTGGCTACTTCCTCTCTGTGGCCTTGAGTCGGAGCCTGGGACATGGGACGGCAGTCAATCGGCAGGTCAGGCCCCCCACGCCGGCCAAGGAGAGTCTACACTGGGATTGAGGTCATGATTTTAGGCTGAGATCTTGCAGGGAGGAGGAGGCAGAAAAGCAAGTCCTTGGAGAGTTTGGGAGAAGGCTTGGGCCTCAGGAAGAACCCCCCTCTCCCCCCACCAGGGTAGAATAAGCCAAAAGTGCCCGGTGAAGGGCTCCAGAAAACCCCTTTCATGCCTCTCCTGCAGATGATTTGCAGAACGCTCATTAAGGGGAAAACAAAGAGGTGGTTTTGTTTATTTATTTAAGAGGAAAAATAAATGAGCTGTGACAAAACAATTTGAAACCAGGCCCCTCTGAGACCTGGGCTTTCACTTCCTCGATGGGAAGTAAAACAGAGAATCGAATCCCCCCTCCAAATAAAAGTGAAGTTAATAATCAGACAGCTCAGCCCGGCCACATCCTGTGTCAGCTCCCTCCCTCCCTCCCTCCCTCCCCTGGCTCACTGTTTATAGCAGCCCAGCCCTCCTCCAGGCCCGAGTGCGGGCTTAACTCTTTCCTCCCCTTCTCCCTCGGCGCCCCAGCGAAGCCCAACCCTGCAGTGCGGCCGGCGGGCTCTGCACAGCCTCGGGGCGGCCCACGTGGGCCTGGCCAGCACAGGCCCGCCTGCCCACCTCCCTCCCAGCCTCTCACCCGGGGCCATGCGTTTCGGAAACCCAGCTCCCTTCTCTGCTTGTCCCACACAGAACCCAACGTGGGCACCGGAGGGAGGGCTACACCCAGGGCCACCCCCTCCAGGAAAGCCCTGGGGTAACCCATTCCTGCCCCTGTGCATAGCCTGGGCCTGCTGTGTTCCGATGGAGAAGAGCACACATCTGGGGGCCTGTGGTCTGTGTTGAGAGCTGTGCTCCATGCATGTCTCTGAGCCGCTGCCTAGGGAAGCTCAGTGCAGCTCTTCCCCCCAGGCCTGGGGGTCATTCGAAGCACATCCCCGCGGAGCTCAGGAAGAAGCCTTGCTAGTTCTTACTTGAGGGCTTTCCACCTGCCAGTCACTGCCGTAAGCAGCAGCTCTGCCCTGTAGGGCCACTGTCCTCCTTGCGGTAAAGAGGAGGAAACTGAGGCACAGAGTGGGGGGAGCCTTGCCCATTGCTCCAGGGCTGGGACTTGAACCCAGGCGTTGTGGTTCCAAAGCCTATGCCCTTCGCCCCTGGACTGCCTTCTGCTTCTGTGCCCTCCTCCGCAGCCTGTGGGTTTCTCACCTGAAGTCACAAACACCCTCCTCTGGCGGAAACTAGTCTCACAGGAAGCTGCTGGGGCCAGTGGCAGAGGCTTAGGGGCGGGCTGTGTGTGTCACCTGCCCCGTCCTGGGATTCCTCCCTTAGGTCTGTTCTGGGAAAAGTGTCTGGCCAGGTCACCTTGCCTGGCCACCCGGTGGGTCCCCGAGGCTGGGGAGGGTGTGTGCTGCTGCCCCCTGCAGTCTGGAAGCCTTCGGGACCGCTTGCCCAAGGCTCAGGGGGGAAGGCCCCTGTGAAGTGCACCTCTGAGCCCGGGCCTGCTCTAGGTCTGTGTACCCTGCACACCTTCCCCCCCCCCCCCCCCCGCCGCCCTCCCCCACCCCCACCCCCACCCCCCGGCTCCATCTTGGGGGGTGAGTTGATCTGCCGAAGGTCTGCTTTCTTGAAATGCCTGTCGCCATTCAAAGCCATGGCCCAGAGGGAGCTGTGCCCTATTTCTCATTTTCCGACTCATTCTTCACCCAGAGAGAGAGCAGCGTGGCTCCGTCCCACTCGGCCTGTTCCTCTGAGCAGGAAGGGAGGAAGACAGCAGTGACTTCTCCGTGACACCTGAAGGGGCTTTCATCCGGTACGGCGCCTGATCAAAGAGATCTCAGCGTGAGTGGGCCTTGACTTTTAATTTATTTTTTAAAAATTTATTTTTATTTATCTCAGAGAGGAAGGGAGAGGGAAACAGAAACATCAATGAATAGAAATATCAATGATGAGAGAATCATGGATCGGCTGCCTCCTGCAGGCCCCCTACCGGGGACCAAGCCCACAACCCAGGCACGTGCTCTTGATCGGAATCGAACCCGGGACCCTTCAGACCAGACTGCAGGCCAACGCTCTGCCCACTGAGCCAAACCAGCGAGGGCGACTTTTGTTGAATTTAGATGTTTAATTCAGACAGAACGCCCAAGATGGGGTGGCTCCACTGTGGTCCTCAGAGGCTAGCAGGCCACATGCGGCCCGCAGAGGAGTCTGATCCGGCCCGCCATGTTTTTTGGGCAGTGAGCGCAGCCGAGGTGTTACAGTAGGAATTAGTAGTTCATATAGTCCGGCCCTCCAGCTCTCTGAGGGACCGTGATCTGGCCCCCACTTTAAAAAGTTTGAGGACCCCTGGGTTAAAGGTTGACATTTGCCAAAACCCCTCAAATCGTCCCCGCCTTTTATCAGTGCTGACCAGCATGAGGGCACTTTACCCACATTTAACTCGTTTACTATCACCCTAGAAAATGGGGTCCTGGTGATTACCCCCCAATTTTCCAGCTGAAGGAAGTGATTTTAGAAAGGTTGAGTAGCTTGCCCACTTTGCTTAGGGGAAGGGCGGGGGGAGCGGGCAGGTGGGGGACCGTTCATTCACCGTGGCTTAAAATACATTGGAACCAACTTAAAAAACCATTTTCATTGAGATTAAAAGCAGTGCAAGGTGGACACCAGGCCCTTGGAATGTTTCTCCCAGTCTGAGGACCACGCTCTTGGTCCTCAGCGTGACCGGCTGTGTGTGTGTGTCTTCCCGCCTGCTGTCCAGCCCTCGCCGGCTCCTGGAAGATCTCCCCACACAGCCTCACCTGCTGTCCGAGGGCGCGAGTCCTCAGGAGGGAAACACCGTGTGGCAAGAACCACAAGCCCTGGTTGGCTGGGTGGGGTGCTGTCCTGGGCACCCAAAGCCTGTGGGCTGGACTCCCAGGCGGGGTGGATCGAGGTGTGTATGGGAGGCAACCGGTCAGTGTTTCTCTCTCACATCGATGCGCCTCTCTCTTCCCCTCCCTCTCTCTCTAAGAATCAGTGAGAACGTATTCTCGGTGAAGATGAAAAAGCCAACAAAACAACAAAAACCCCCAATAAGACAGGAATCTTGGAGTTCAAAAATTCTTATAGCTTCTTTGCACTTAAAACACGTTAGTAGAGAAAATCCCATACGTAGAGGAGGAGACAGAGTCATCTGGTGAAGCCCCATATACCATTCACCGATGTCACTCAATGCTGCCCGCGCTTGTCCGAGTATCACCGCCTGCTTCCCTGACGCCCAGGTAACTGGGAAGTGAATCCTTGTATCAGATCATATCATTACAGCATGTCAGTCCATAGCTTCAAAAACAAAACAAAACAAACCCCCTCCCCCCCACCCCAACACACATACACAAAACTTACACTTGCCGAAACCGGTTTGGCTCAGTGGATAGAGCCTTAGCCTGTGGACTGAAAGGTCCCAGGTTCGATTCCAGTCAAGGGCATGTACCTTGGTTGTGGGCACATCCTCAGTAGGAGGTGTGCAGGAGGCAGCTGATTGATGTTTCACTTTCATCGATGTTTCTAACTCTCTATCCTTCTCTCTTCCTCTCTGTAAAAAATAATCAATAAAATATATTTTAAAAAAACTTACGGGGGCAATGGTAAGATATGTACACAGATAATAAATTTAATAAAAAAATAAGGAAAAAAAACTTACACCGAACCACAGCATCCTTATTGCACCTGAAATTCAATGATGTCCCCTAATGTTACCGAGATTCCGTTGGTGCTCACATTCCTGGAACGTTTTAAAACCCTACCCCTTTCTACTTCAGGCAGAAAAAGCCCGGATTCTGAGTGAGAATTTCTCAGTGGTGGGTCACGTCCCTACCATCTAGCTGCTCCAGGGCAGGCTTGTGGATTTGGGCGGAAACCCCCGGTTACTGAGTCCCTGAGGCCAATAAGCCCGTCACTGCCCTGCCCGTTACAGCTCCTGCTGGGTCAGAGCCGGGCACACAGTGGGCCTGGTCTGCGCGCAGAGCTCCTGGCAGGGGGAGTTCCCGCAAGGGTGGGGCTGCAGCCCGCTGAGCTCATGCGGGAGGGAGGCCTGCCCGCAGCCCCCTGCGTCCTCCCACCACGCGGAGCCAGGCTGCGAGTGGCCGTCCTTGGCCTTCTGCGGGCGCTCCACCCGCCAGCTGCCTGCGCCTCCTCTGGGACCCCTTCTCTCTGTCCTGCTCGGGATGCTTGACTGTGTTCCAGTGGCTCCGTGGAACCAACCCCACGTGGTGGGGCCTCCAACCTTCTCCTTGGTCTTGCCAAGCCAGTGTTGAACATACAGCAACAGTTGACCAGGGCTACATTTGGGAAAGGGGCGGTGTGTGTGTGTGTGTGTGTGTGGGGGTCGTGTGCACTTGCCAAGTGCTTTGCTCATCTATCCTTCTAGCAGCCCCAGGAGGCGGGTATTACTGTCACTGCCATTTCACAGCGAGGAAGACGGGAGAAGGAGGAGGCAGGTAGGTCCGGTCCCTCGCTGGCTGAGGAAGGGGCGGTGCCAGGATTGGATGTGGTCAGCCTGAGCCCTGGGTGCTCTCTCTGTTGCAACACGTCGGCTCCCAAATGTTGAGACTCGTTTCGCGAACGGCTAAGGCAGCTTGGCCGAGGCCCAGACACTTGAACCTTTTGAGGACAAATCTTGACAAGTTGGGATCTGCAGCCACATCGCACTTTCCCCTGCAGTGTTCGCCTGTCCCAGAGCAGACATAGGATGACTTATTAGCATACACACCCTTGTGAGGAGATTAGCTCAGTTGAATGGAATAAATTTTAGGTCATTCAGCCTCTAATTTCCTGGTTTGTCTTTTTTTTTTCTTTCTTTTTTTCTTTTCATGGTTAAATAATAGCTTGAGTCATATAGTCTATGACCGAGACACGTTTGAAGGTTAGGAGGGATGGGAAGAAACGGGGTTGAGTACCTGAGGCCACAACCTAGACAGTGTCCCTTCTGCCTATTTTGTCACCATTTTTTGATAGAAGGAGCATGTGACTTACAGAATCAGGGTCAAGTGACTTCAGAATTCTTAGAGGGAGAAAGGCTGGCACAGGCCCCGCTTCCTTGGTCCCAGTCGAGCAGAGTTCAGCCCGAGTGGCATCCCCTGGGCTGAACGTTGGAGGAGCAGTTTTCGGTGGCGAGGGAGGCTCGGACCCGTGTCCTGTAGGACCCTGCCCTGTCCACGGTGGAAGGCCCGAGCACGCCACAACCAGACGCTAACCCGATTCACTAGCATCCTCACTGCCTTTGCGTCTCGATTTTGCCTTGGTCTGCTTCAGCTTTCTCCCAGCTCCTGCTGCCCTGAAGGAACAGGAGAGTGGGCAGAGGTGGACTGTGGGCAGAGGTAAGTCAGGGGCTTGGTAAAGCCCAAGCAAACACAGAGAGGAGTGGCACCAGCCACCTTACAGAAGAGAGGCGTGAGAGGCCGAAAGAGGCCAAGCAGACACAGGGACAGGAGCCAGGAGTTAAGTGCTCACGGAGCTGATGGACACAACGTGAAATTCATGTCACGGTTTGCCAATGATGGCAACGGGGAAGCCGTGGCAATGCCTGGGAAGTAATTTAAATCATCTAAACCGTTTTCAAAAGTGGCACTTGCTGCCCTGACTGGTTTGGCTCAATGGATAGAGAGTCAGCCTGCAGACTCGAGGGTTCCAGGTTCAATTCCGGTCAAGGGCATGTACCTTGGTTGCGGCCACATTCCCAGTGGGGAGTGTGCAGTAGGCAGCTGATGGATGCTTCTCTCTCATCGGTGTTTCTATCCCTCTCCCTTTCTCTCTGGCTTTGCATAGAGTTGGGTACGCCAGTCTTCCCGGATGGTGTGTCTGGGGGTGGGTCAGCCCTGGTGCACGGAGAGGTGGCTGGGTAAGCCCCTCCCTGGAAGGTGCAGAGCCAGTGACAAGGCTCCATCACACCTATGGCTTCTCCTGCCTGCACGGGCCCCTCCTGCTCAGACTCTCCAGTGAGCCTGCCGGGGGCGGGGGCACCATGATGGAAGCCACCAGGCTGGCGTGAACTGATAGGGTCTTGGCCTTGTCCAGGAAGATCAGCCCTCCCTCTGCCAAACACCAACAGCTGGGGGAAGTTGGGGGAATTGTAGGAAAGCCAAGGGCAAGAAGGAAAGCTTGCTCCTAGGACTGTCCTCGCTCCGTGTTCAGAGGAGCCCGAAACCCACAAAAAGCGTTCAGACTCAGAGCTAATGAGTGTGGCTGGTCCAGGATCAAGGCAGTTGCTGTTAAGCTCATCGCTGCCTCTTATTCTCTCCTGGGTCTCCCTCTCCTTTTTCTGGTGTTGTTTGCTTTCCCATACTTCTCTCTTTGCAGAATATTTACAACGGCCCTCTTCTTCTTTTTCATTCTCAATTCCCCTCCCCACCCCACTCTGCCTTCTTAGCATAACTTTTCCCTTCTTTTGGCCTTTTTTGTGTTACATCTGGATTCCCGGATGGTTTATTTGTCTGTTTCCCGAATCTCTTCCCTCTCCTATTTCTTATAACCCCCCCCCCCCCCCACCCCCGCCCCCTTCCTTCAGCTTTAACTCTTTCCCCTAAAGACTTCCTTGGGCCACACAGGCTTTTATTCTTGTTCATCTGTCGAAGCAGTGCTGGCAAGAAGGCGGCCACAGCCGGCAGGCGGGGCCGCGGTGGCCACGCAGACCTGGGTGTCCTTGGAAGAGGAGCCGTCTTCTGGAGAGGGGCTCCCCCTGTGCGGGTGGCTGAGGCTGCCAGGCGGCGGAGGACTGGGGCAGATGGTGTGTCCTCCACGTTGTGTGGGCCTGGGCCCCATGGCTCATGGGCCCTGCCCTTCCCTGGGTGTCCAGGTGGGGGGCTCACCAGGTTCCATCCAGAAGGTCGGGGCTCAGGGGAGGTGCACCCCCGGGGCAGGTATCACCTGTAAAGCTCTGGGCTGGGAGCAGGATGACTTGCCGCGTGGGTCAGCTTCTTGGGGGGTGGGTCTGGGTATCCTCTGGTCCTCGCTGTCTGGCTGAAGGTGGCCTGGGCATCTGGAGGTTCTGGTGGGGGAGACAGAGGCCGTTTTCCAGCACGAGATCCTTCCTCCCAGCAGTGCCCACCCCTAGGCCGGCCGGTGGGCTTTTTCAGGACACGGGAAGAGTGCAGGACGTCGTCCCTGATAGCTGTGAGGCACCTTACAGGTCCTTGGCCACCGGGGAGTACCCCACCCCCCACCTGTGGGAGGTCCTGAGGGTCAGCCCTGGTACGGATGGAAGCAGGTGGCACTTCTCAACGGGCGTGGCGGCAGGGAAATCCTAGAAGTCGCGGCCGCGCCCATCCTTGTCTGGAGCGGTGGGGAGGGGGTGAGGAGTGTCCTGGCGCTGCTCCCCAGCTGTCTGAGGCGAAGCGACTGGAGTCCATCTGGCTGTCGCCCCAGGCCCAGGCTTGCTTCCCACCCTGGGGCATCCATGCCGCTGGGCGCGGGCTGAGTCCTCAGCAGGCTCAGCCTGGAGGAGAGCGAGTGCGAGGTCATGCTCTCCCTGGGGCACACAGGAGCCGGCAGAGGGCCCGGAGCACCAGGTGGTCGCCGAGGGCCGGACTCTTTTCCTAGGCCCAGAGGCCTGCGGCCATGCTCCTCTGGAAGTGCCTTCCAGGGCCCCTCGCCTTCTCCACACCTTGCTCTTTGGCCAGGTCCCTTCCTTCCTCCTCCTCCTCCTCACGGAGGCACAGTGTTCTCTGCCACTTTAGAAATATCCTACTGATGACATAGAAGCTTGAGAGAAGTCTTTGCTTGTTTAACATTCTGTTTACAATGTACTTATGTTTTCTAAGACTTCAACCCTGGAGTCCAACTCTTAGAATCTAGTATTTTTTTAAAACATTTATTTTTTAAATGTTTTTATTTTATTTTTTATTTATTTATTTTTTTAACTATATTTTATTGATTTTGTACAGAGAGGAAGGGAGAGAGATAGAGAGTTAGAAACATCGATGAGAGAGGGTCATCGATCAGCTGCCTCTTGCACACCCCCTACTGGGGATATGCCCGCAACCAAGGTACACGCCCTTGGCCAGAATCAAACCCGGGACCTTTCAGTCCGCAGGCCGACGCTCTATCCTAGGGGTGTCGAACTCAATCAGAGAAGGGGCCAAAATCTAAAATCCAGCCTAAATCGCGGGCCGAATGGTTTACTGAACAGTCATAAACTGTCATTGTGATGGAAACGCAGTGGAGTGCAGTGATGACAGCGCGGTGCGGGCCACATTGCAAGGCCTGGCGGGACAGATTTGGCCCGCGGGCCTTGTGTTTGACACATGTGCTCTATCCACTGAGCCAAACCGGTCCCGGCTTTATTTTATTTTTTATTTTTATTGATTTCAGAGAGTCTAGGGGAGAGAGAGAGAGAGAGAGAGAGAGAGAGAGAGAGAGAGAGAGAGAGATCAATGACAAGAAAGGAAAGAATCATTGATTGGCTGCCTCCTGCATGCCCCACAATAGGGATTGAGCTCACAACCCAGGCATGTGCCCTGACCAGAAATCGAACTATGACTCCCTGATCCATAGGCCAATGCTCAACCCCTGAGCCTCTCGGGGCTAGGCCCATCCAGCATTCTTTAAAACTCTAGAACCACAGACCCGGGAGTCCCCAAACCCCTACTCCTGGGCCTTGTGGGTTTGGTGTGTCTGGTTCCAGGGCTCTCCCAGTGAGGGAACTGGGGATGCATTTTTTTTTCTAAGTTCTTCCCTCATCTCCGCCAGGAGCCGGCTGGGAGTAAGGGCCGGCCCCTCTGACGTAGGAGTTCAGGTGGAGATGCGGATCCCAGGCTCCTTCGCCTTTCCCACCTGAAGCCAAGGCACAGGCCCCTGCAGCCTGCGGTCTCAGCGCCGCCTGGCTCCTGCCACCTCCCTCCGCCTTCCCTCTTCCCACGCACCACGCTGTATAAATATTTACACCCCCGGGCTGGGAGGCCTCTCTCTCCAGCTGCTTCCCCGTCTCTGGGAGCGCTTGTTCTCTCCCTCAACAGCTGCAGCAGATCTGGTTGCCTTTGGTCAGACGAGGGCAGGCCCTGGTTTGGGGCCTGCAGGCCCCTGGGGTGGAGGGTGCAGTTGGCGGGAGAAACTCAGATCTAAAGAAGTCACAGGGCTGTGGCAAGGCTCCCTCCTCTCTTCCACGGCTGCCTACGTGGCCACCCTCCAAGAGCCATCTGATCCATGGTCTGGCTGGGGGGTGGGTTCCGCTTCTCAGAGAACAGCTCCCCAGGGCGGGGTCTGCCCCACTCGGGGCCGGAGGACCATTCCAGAGCAAACTGGCTGGTGGTAGGAGGGACAAGATAGGAGCGTGGTTTACAGTTGAGAGGGGTTTACAGTTTACAGGTATGCACGATACCTTTTTAAAAAAAAAAAAATATTTTATTGATTTTGTACAGAGAGGAAGGGAGAGAGATAGAGAGTTAGAAACATCGATGAGAGAGAAACATTGACCAGCTGCCTCTTGCACACCCCCCACTGGGGATGTGCCCGCAACCAAGGTACATGCCCTTGACTGGAATCGAACCCGGGACCTTTCAGTCCCCAAGCCGACGCTCTATCCATTGAGCCAAACCGGTTTGGGCACGACACCCTTGTTTATGCCGAAGCAGACTCCCCAGATTGGAGCAAGAACCCCCCCTAGAGATTCTTCTTCCTTCCCATCAGCCCCTGTGCAGGGTACCTGGGGGAGGGGAGGGAAGAGGACAGAGGCTGCTTCCCCTGTCTTCCTTGGTGATCCAGGAAGCAGGAGTGTGCCAAGGAACCGAACCAGCATTTGTTGGGTCCCCACGGGCTGGGCACTGTGGGAGGCACGTCCCCGTATTCTCAGGTCGTTACTTAAGGCCTAAGCCCAGCGGAGTCTGAGCTTCCTGGTGCGTCTCCGCTGCCTGCCCTCAGGTGGCGGCCACCGAGCAGCAAGCTCCCGGACCGGAGCCCAGACTTCCGAGAGCCAGTGGACCCTGGTCTCGCCTGCCTGCAGTGGGTGCTGGTCACCGGTGGCCACCTCCCCTCCCGTGCCTCAGCATCCTCCACATCGGTGGGAGGTAATTAATCTGTGCCCCACGAAGCATTCCAAATTCAGCACAAGAACAGGTTTTTAAAAAACAACATGGTGGGCCCTAGTCAGTTTGGCCCGGTGGATAGAGCGTTGGCCTGTGGACTGAAGGGTCCCAGTTTCGATTCCAGTCAAGGGCACGTGGCCGGGTTTCAGGCTCAATCCCCAGTGTGTGGGGGGTGGGAGTGGGGGATGTTGTGCAGGAGGCAGCTGATCAGTGATTCTCTCTCTTCATGTTTCTGTCTCTCTCTCTGAAATCAATAAAA